AGATCACAGTCATCCACATTTGCAACAAGTAAATTTCAAATCAACTTTTTAATTACTAACGCCACATGTTCGGAGGAAATATAACTAAATTTCATAGAAAAGTATGTATCAGTAATGTTGCAATAATTTATAATGAATCAAAACGCTTACACTTTGTGAGCATTGAATAGGTGTGTGACAGAACTGTCACATAGCAATATGAAGGGGTAATAACAGCAAGCATTACCCGTTAAATAACATTGTTTCAGATTCCCTGCACACGGCTTGTCAGCACTTTTGATTGCAACTGATGATAGCAGCTAAAGGAGCATTATAATATATGTCGTTTAGGCCTCAGTTTTTCTGTATTTATTTTGCATATTATTTTTTATTTGTTATTTTTAAATTATTAAATTTTGGTTTAAGAGATTTAAGGTAATAAGTATTTTCCATTTTAAAGTTGCATTGATATGATTAATGTGTAACAAAAAACAATGGTAAGAAATTAATTCCCTTCCTTGGGCCTCCATGCAATCCGGTTTTAGCTATCTTACACGTTTACAATTTATATACTGTTTTGAGTTAGCTTGCATTTTTACATGTTTTTGGTTGCCCAATGAGTGTTTGTTATGATCAAAGATTGCATTAAGAGACAGAATAGAACTATTATCTAACTATTTTGAATTATATAAATAGTTTCTAAACATTGTAAGGGAAAAAGTTTTTGTTACTTGAAAAAAATTTTTTTATTTAAATTTGTTGCTTAAACTGATTTATACTAATTATATGTACTTTTTTAAAACAATTATTGCCTTTTTAGCAAATTCAATATATATAGTTTCTAAACTTTTTTACGTTATATAAAAACTGCGTCACTTTAACAAAAAAAATAGAATCTGCGAAAACAATTTTTAAATATTTATGAAAATGAAAATATTTATCTGTTTTTAATATGGGATTTCCCGTCAACAACCCAGACTAATCCCAGATGGGACCCAGTTGGATCCCGCTGATAAAATCACGACGCTGGAATCCAGTTGCACTGGTTAACTAGGTATAGAACAACTTAAAATAATATTTTTGTAATCTTCAAGGCTAAGCAAAACAAATCGTTTAAGTGGTCGAAAATCATAGAGAAATAATAATTTCTAATATACACCTTCCCTTACCGTCATACAAACACTTTATTTCGATTTTTTTAAATCAATAAGAAATTTACAATTTACAATGATTGAGACAGTTTTAATTGAGTAATAATTACCTTAGACTATTGTTTTAAAGATTATTGTTAGACCTTAGACTATTGTTTTAAACTTTAAAAGTGACATTTGATTTTTAGAAAACTTTTTCTTTGCTACTTTATTTCTTATTACAGCTGGAGCTTTAAATGTTGACCTTAGTAGTTGGATTACTTTATATTGTATTTTTTTAATCTGTTGATGATTGCAACAGCTTATTTATAATGATTATTTAGCTTGTTCAGAATGATCTAGTAGTCGATGCAGCCTAGCAATTATTTTATATTTTCAGTGAACCTAATTTGCATTTAGAGTGATCTAGTGTAGTTTTGCTTATCAATTGCTTTAAGTAATGGCAAGTGTCTTAAGTTGCCAGCCAACTATGAGCTAACATTATGGTATTGACCACATGTGTTTTAGTTTTCAGTTGATTTAAATGGTTTGAGCTACTAATTACCGACTAAGTAACTGACAAGCTGAACAACAATGAACCACTAGAAATGTCTATGGAAACTTAAATACTCTAATAAATGATTTCTGGAAGATAATTTGTTTTCTTTTTAGATGCTGGACTCATATATTTTCAAATATACTTTAGGAATCAGAGATCAGAAAGATAAAAATAGTAAAACCATTAAAATGAAGACACTAATCATTACTCCTTCAGTTGATAAAATTCCTTATACATTTTTCTTAACAATTGTATTAGATGATCATAAAGTTTAAGACTGGTTAGTTTTTTCTTTTTCTTCAATATTATTTTAAAGAGCTGAGTAGTTAGAATTCAGGCTTTAGAATCTGTGGTATGTTCCTATTTATTATCTAAGATAAAAAAAAGGAAATTATCATTCAACTAAAAATCCTTTTTTTATTATTTTAATAATTTTTCCTTATTTTTTAGGGTAATATTTCAACAACTTTGCTCTTGACCAAAAAAGCAATGTTGTCTTAAGTAATTTTTAAGTAATGTATATATATATATATATATATATATATATATATATATATATATATATATATATATATATATATATATATATATATATATATATATATATATATATATACATATATATATATATACATATATATATGTATATATATGTATATATATGTATATATATATATATTTATATAAATTAAAAAAAAAGTTCATAAAATTAATAAATTATTCAATGAATAGCCAACAAATTAAATATAGTGATAAGAATTAAATGCAGCGGAATATATCTGCTGCACTTAATTCTTATAAATATATTTAATATAAGTCCTAGGCATAGGTTTTGCTTTAAGTCCTAAAATCTAGGCCTAGGTCTTAGCCTTGAAATTGTTGATCTCAGCATTTACCTTGAAAATTTTGACCTTGCCTTGAATGTTTTGTCTTTCACCTTCCACTTTTATTTTAATAGTTTCAGATTTTTTGTTCGTGTTTGCATTTTAAAATTTGTGTTGAAATTTATTTTGTTTACAAGAGTTGTTTTTGTTTACTTGAAAGATTTAGAGCTTAATTTTGTGTTTTATGTCGCAGTTTAAATTGCCATTTTTGACTAGTCGTTTTAACCAAATAATAAATTACACGATTAGTTAACAGGAATTTAATATATCTATTTATTAGACCAGATGATTGTTTTAACGTTAAAACATTTCAAAATTTATAAAATATTTAAAGACGTGAACTTGGCTTAAAATTAAAAACATAACTTTTAAGATTTTTAAACTAAAATTGTAAAAATGTATTTTTAATAGAGTTTTTTTTATAATTTTATTTATAAAATCCATTTTTAACCAATAAGCAATAGTTTAATTATCGTTTTTTGAAAGTTTGGAAACTGAAAAAACTATTATTTGATTTAAAAGAACTATAAGATTTAAAAAAAAACTATGAAATTCTCTCAAGAACAACACCAAAAACCACTTTGACATTTAAAGGCTCTTTTTTTTTTTTTTTTTAAAAAAAAAAAGTTATTTATTTACAATTTATAAAAAAAAACAAACATGTTTTACAAACAAAATAGCTTTGAAAAAATATTTTAAAAGAATAAATCAGTAGAAATAAATCAAAAAGACTTTTTGTTAAAAAAAAAAAATGTATGCAATGAAACAATATTCAAAATTAAGAAATATATATTTGACAAGTATTTCTGTGTGTCCCTGCAGCGTCAGCTCCTTTCAAGCGTATCTTTTGTCAGAGTAGATTGATAATGCGCCTTTAAAGAGTTCATATATTTAATTTGTTGCTTGAGTTTTTGATGTTTCTTAAATGTAACAAAGACTTATAGACTGTATATTCATGGTTAATGCTTTTGATATATAGTCAACGCTAACAACTAATATCAACACATTTTTAATTAAAAGATGTTAAAATTAGTTGTTAAAGCTTTAAGCACAAAAATACATTAGAGTAAATAATTAAAAATTTTAGTTTCTCATTTTTATGCATTTTTATTTTTGGTTTCCATATTATCTCCAAACATATTTTTTTTACTGACTTCCTTGAATTCTGCGCATAATGTTGCAAGGTTAACATGCAAAGTTACCTTGAAAAGTATACCATGCTATAACTTCACAAAATGTGATTTTATTTTCGGAGCACTTGATACCTGCAGTTTAGTTAACAACTGACCTTAAATACAAAGTTTTAGTATTTGGCTTTGAAAATATTTACGTAAGCATTGGCCCGCAAACTCTTGTCATTGAACTTAAAACCTTTGGGCTTGGCCTTGTCTTGAATTAAAATATTATGCAATGGTCTTCGCCTTGGCCTTACTTTTTTTGGCCTTGTTACCAACTCAATCTTTAATATAACCATTGCAAGTTAAACCTACAAGAAATGCAGGTTTTAGAATATAATGGATTTATTTATAACCTTTTTATTCAGCATGTTTATATCTGTTCAAAAAAGTTGTTAGCAATGTATTTTTGATAAAATGTTTTATCGAAAATACATTGCTAACAACTTTTTTGAACAGATTTCAAATTTTGAACAAAAAGTGGACACTGAACTATCTAAGATTTGCTCAAGAAAAACACCAAAAACCACTTTTTGAAAGTGTATTTTCACTTGTAAGTAATGTTTTTTAAAGCACTTCTTTACTAATAACTAGTTTTTTATTTTTTATTATTTTGCACGTCTTTACAGCACTAATTGAAGATCATTCGCTATTAATAAAAAGTCTTTGTCAAATAACACAATAACTAATCACAATTAATGAGACTAAAATTGTTAAATAATTTGTTTTCAGCAATAATTAAACAATGCAAATTATTTCCATAAGTTGCTATATGCTATATATAAAAAAAATGAATAAATAATTATAATTTTGTTCTACATAAAAATTCAGTTTGCAAATAAAAAGTCTTTATTAGAAAAGATTTAGCAAATTTTATTTGAGATTCAACAAGTAATCTTTGAAATTACTAACCAAAGTAGCGAAAAAACCTGTTTTGATCATTAAGTAACTAAGTTTTTTAGATCAATCTATTAGGCATGTTAATGGTAGCTGGACAATATAACTGGATCAAAATAATCCTTTTGTCAATATTGGTAGCAAAAAGATCTGCTTGCTTCCCTTAATCTGTAGGTGAGAAGATTTTATAGAATGATGGAAACCTTGTGCGGCATTGTACCGAAAGTTTAGAGGTATTATTTAGTAACAGAATGCGAAAAAATTATTCTAGATGACAACTAATTAAAAAAAATGTGAAAATTGTAAAGTATATTTTAAATAAATAAAAAGATTAAAAATGATCAATTATTTATTAATAACCCAAGAATTATTTTACCAGCTTTTTAAGAATATCGTTATCACTCAACATAATTTTTTCAGTTTGTTCACAGGCCTGCAAAAGATCTTTAAAACCAGAACTTTCATTCAGATCAAATATTAAGTGGCTAAAAGCAAGACAACAAGATTCAAAACATTTTACTCGATCAACTTCATCATCAGTTTCACCTGCAGCTATCGACATGATTTCAACAAAAACTTTTACTTCCTTCGGATCTACAATTTAAGTATATGATTTTAATACAACAAAAAAATACTTATAACTTTACAATAATAATATTAAGATAATTAACTAACAAACAATGTTTTTGAGATATTTGGTTTTTTATTTTAATACTTGCTTCAATTAAAAACTTTATCAGGACTTATAGTTAATAATTTATAACTATGATAAAAGGATGACTAAGTTACAAACAATACTTATTACAAATTTTTTGGTTAAAGATTTATATAATAAAAAATTCAGTTCAATATCATTTAAATTAAATTAAATTCAAAACTGTCATTGTAATCCACTTAAAATTGTAAGCGGCTAACGCATCTCAAAATGAAAGTATAACTTTTTAAAGAAATAGTAAATAACTTTCTGCATACCTTTGAGATTATCTTTTAGCCAAAAAAAAAGTTGTAAACATGATGAAATAGCTCTAAATATTTCAAATATATTGTCTGAAAACCTTTCAATGGAACCAGCCAAGTAAATTAGATCTTTGTCAATATCTTGCAAACTTTCGATTTCATTTAAGGGTTTCTAAATAATTCAATAAAAATGAAAAAAAAAAATTGTTTTTTTTAACTAAAATTTTATATAAAGTTAGTTTTGAATAAGTTTATAAAAAGAATTGATTTTAAAATCAAAACATCATTACCATCATGTTTTCAACACAAGTAAAATCACCACGTAAATTTAGACTTTTTCTCACATGATGTATTTCACTTGCAATGTTCGAATATTTTTTAACTAAAAACACACAATTTATTTTTTCAAAACAGGTTTCGATATCCGCTTCTTCAAAACTCAACGTTAACAATTTTTTTAATAAAAAAAATTCTTTTTTGATATCAAGTTGATTGTATCCAGAAAATTTTAGAACCACATCAGATGGAGATATTTTACATGAAACTATTCTTTCAAACAAAGTTTTTAAATTTTTGATTGTTGGTAATATAATCTCATCAAATAGTTGAGTGTATTCGATTTTTACCATGTTTGTTTCAAACTTTTTTGCAACTAATTGAATTTCGTTTTGGAACAAAATACTGCTCATCACTTTACAATCTGTAATTTGAAATGCATATTCAAACCACCTCAAATAAATTTTAAAGTACTTGCACAATTTATTAACAAATCCTTGTTCATCAATTGATACAATTCGGCTATCAAATTCACCAACAACTAAAAAATCAGAAATTTCATTCGGAGTACTATCCACAAAAATTTCTTTAAAAGTTAGAGCTGAGTAATTTAAACGAACTACATCTTTTAACACTTCAGATTTGACTAAATAAAAATAAAATTTAAAAATCATTTTAAATTATTTTTTACGCATTAATAATATAAAATTTACATACCAATAATATTAAATAAATAAATGAAGTATAGAAGTTTCAATATAACGTAATAAGTTTTCAAAAGTATTGAAGTTGTAATAAACATAATTAAAGTTTTAATATAACATAATGAAAATTATTAAATAAAATTTAACCCTTTAAGTGTCTTTGTGTGGTATCACGAAAACTCAAATTTGTTTTAAAATGTCTCTAATGTGTTATAAAGCAAATTAAATATGACTTCTAAATGTTCTTGCCGTTATGATACGGTTGTATGCATCTTCTCATATTTTCTTCTTGTTCGTAAATAATATACGACTTAACTGAGATTATTATTGGACAAATAAACTTCACTTTTACACGTTTGTAATAAGAGACCACTTCAATAAAAATGTTGAAACTACAAAAGCCGTAGGTAAAAAAAAAAAAATTACAGGCCAGTAAATGGGGTAATGACTTTTAATTACTCAAATTGATTTTCTTTTTTTTTAAATCATTATTACTTATCTTAATATGTTCAAGTATTTTAAAAAACCATTAGGCTAGAGCCAAGGAAATGCTACTTATTATTTTGTAACTATATAAATATATAAATATAAATATATATATATACATACATATATATACTTAAAAATCCAGTCGTTAAACTAATCACCAAAAGCAGAGGTATTTATAATCGACGCTTAATCTCCGGTAAAACAAATTTTTGGCAAGAATTCAGGCTTGCAAATAAAGGACAAATCACTCATTCTATCTCTAAGACATTAGCGAACCAATTGAACGACCATTTCCAAAATGTTTGGAACGATAAGAAATAACCTAATCTCTCGTTCTTCATTAACCATCAAGCAGACCTACCTATTTTCCCTATTTTTACCATTAATAACATTCTCAACCAATTCAGCAAACTAAAAACAGGATTATCAGGTCCTGAAGACCTCTCCCCAATTTTCCTTAAATCTGCTCGCCTAGAATTTGCTCCATCACTCAATGTCCTGTTTAACCGCCTGATACAAAACAGTTACTTCCCTGATCAATGGAAGTAGCAAACATAACACCAATCCCTAAAATCTCAAACCCGCCATCTTCTAATGACTATCGCCAAATTGCTATTGCGTCTGCGTTATGCAAAGTATTCTAACGAATTGTTACTAAATTCATTGTCCATCACACAAAATACATCTGGGTCTCAAACAAACATTTTGGTTTCCTTCCAGGCCGTAGTACAATGGACGCTATAATTCAAGTTATAGAGGATTGGAGTTATGCTGAAGATAATAATAAATCAGTTTTTGCAATATTCTTTGATTTTGAAAAAGCATTTGATCTTGTTGAACATGACAAGTTGCTACTAAAGTTGACATGAAAAGTTGCTACTAAAGGTGAATATTCTACCTAACTGGCTCATATCTTGGTTCGCAGCTTTCTTATCTAATCGTCGCCAAAGAGTAAAAACGAGTAATCACACCACTAACTGAAAATATATACAATCCAGAGTACTTCAGCATAGTGTTCATTCTCTTTATTTCCTATGTAAATACCTACATCCCACCTGAAACCATTATCAAAAAGTATGCTGATGACACCCTGACCTATATTATCTATGATAAAGAGTCTGTCAATTTACCTCAATCCATTGCTGACGGTGCACAACACTATAAAATCAGTGCCATTTCTACTCAAGCGCCTTAAGCAAATCAGACACACTCAGCCCAACCTACTACAAATATACAGATCTATCGCTATTTGCCACATGATATATAGTACCCCAGTTTTTACCTCTTGCAGCAAAAAAAGAGATTCAACATTTCCAAAAAAATGCCTTACAGATAATCGGAGATGATGCAACCAATTCGAGCCGTCTCATTATTTGTTTTGACATTAAAGATTTACTTGACAAGACATGTATTAATATCCTTGAAAATATCCTTGCAGACACAAACCATCCGATAACCACTAAATCATCTCGCACCAATAGTAGAAACCCAAACAGATTCCTATTCATTCTAATAATTGCAATCACTACTAACCATCAGCAATCTTTTATTCAAAAATACCTTCATTCTTTCTGATGGTGTCAGAGACCTCTACCTCCTACGAAGCATTGGCAGCTCCGCTGCATTTTTAACACATAAATGATCAGGACTTTTTTCCGCGTTTTTAGCTAACTTTCACTCATTATTTAACAATATATAAAATTGTACAATTCATTATTTGTAAAGCTAATCAATTTTAAATTAAAATATATAAAAAAAACAACGTATATATACATACATATATATATATATATATACATATCTATATATATATATATATATATATATATATATATATATATATATATATATATATATATATATATATATATATATATATATATATATATATATATATATATATATATATATATATATATATATATATATATATATATATATATATATATATATATATATATATATATATATGTATATATATTATATATGAATATATATATATATATATATATATATATATATATATATATTTATATATATATATATATATATATATATATATATATATATATATATATATATATATATACATATATATATATATATATATATATAAATATATATATATATATATATATATATATATATATATATATTCATATATATATATATATATATATATATATATATATATATATATATATATATATATATATATATATATATATATATATATATATATATATATATATATATATATATATATATTAAACTCATTCACTTCTGATAATGTTGCAAGCAACTAATAATAAGTTATGTTACTAAAAAACAAAGGATAGGGTAAACGAGAAAGAAAACAGTCAACTAAAGTCTGAAAAAGTTGTGGTTGTATGATCAGGAAAAAATCAAGATGGGTCAGAGTTTTGTGGTTTTGTTGATTTGCACGGAAATAGACTATATTAATAAAAATTTTTGTAGTATAGTAGGTATTATTAAACATTGCAATTTCAACTCTGCTGAGTAACAGCTAATTGAGAATGAATTTTGGTAGAGATAATAGTATGATGGTATTTGTAGAAAAAAAAAAAAAGAGATACAACCTTATAAACGATGAGAGAGTGGTTAAGTCTTGGGAAATAAAGCAGGTATATTTACAATGTTCCTACTACATTTACAATGTTCTTATGAAGTTTATCTGAGAGTCAAAGGGTTGTTATTTGTCAACATAGAAATGTCAACAAGTTTGCGATAGTTGTTTGCAGCAAATAACTGAGTTTTATTGGAATGTAAATCTACAAGCAACTATATGCCCCAAGCTGTTACAAAAGAGAAACAGGCTGCTTGTTTTATGCAATCAAAAAGTGGACTATTTTTCAATACAGAGTATAAAGTTAGGTTTTCAGCAAATTGAGCTGCCTTAAATGTAAAATTGTAAGTAATATTTTTATAATAAATGAGAAACAATACAGGAGCAAAGATAGATTCTTGTGAAACTCGTAAAGTTACAGGAGAACAAGAGCGCTGGTCCACTAGAAGGGCGTTAATACGATTTCTTGGTTAGAAAGAAATAGTTTAATAGTCCTAAAACTTTTCTATAAAAACACTTATCCTAGAAAGAAGAATAATTGTAGGATAGTTAATGAGGTCAGAGAGTTTTGTAGAGAATTGGAACCACTTATCTAACACTTATATAAGTTTAGAGAGAGTTGAGGAAAGTTCTGGAAAACAGTTTTGTAAGAATATCATAGAAATGTTGTCTGAAGCAAAAGCGATAAGAGATTATAATGGAGAACAAACTAAAGCCTTAGAACCCAGAGTGATTTGGATTTCTAAGCTTAATTCGTCTAAGTGAGTAGTTAAATAGCAGTAAAAGTATAGTATTCAAAAGTCAGATAAAAGAAAAAGTTCCTTGCAAATAAAAAACACGGCCTTGTTCTGGATAGAAATAATAGAATCTGACCAATGAATCATAGATGAAATGTTAAATTTATTTATTTATGTCTCTGTTTCAGATTAATTTTAGATTAGTTATGATTAGATTAGATAGATTAGTTATGACTCAGTTATAATAGATTAGCTATGACTCTATTTTGGGTTTCATAATTTTGAGATTATTTGAAAAAATTAATAACAATCATCGGAGTTTAAAATAACTTTGAGTTGTTTAACTTTAATTAGAGACTTGAATTAACATACCTTATTTTATTTCGTTATGTAGAACTTTATTTACAAAATATTTACTTTAATTAGTTTAAAAAAAATCAAAATTATTGTTTTAGTCAAATTTTAGACTTCTATTTCTTCATACACCTTGAATAAAATTTGTATAAAGTTTTATTGTTAAACTATAACCAGGAGGCAAAATTAGTTAGTTACAACAAGTATACATCAAAATATATCAATGGACATTCCCAGTTTTTTTACACTAGACTGCGTATCATTTTAATAACTGGCTTTTTAAATAATAATAAGAGATTAAACCCAGTTAACCAGCCCAACTTGGTCCCAGCTGGGATTGAGCAGGGTTTACTGGGATTGGGTTCGGGCTGGGATATGGGTCCCGTATGGGATGAAAATAATCCCGCAAATAAAATCTAGGTTTTTACTGGGATTGGCGTGGGGCTTCCGTAAATGGTTTACGGTTGGTTTGAGGATGGGAAGCGTGGTTTAATGGTAGCGTTTATTTTCTAATCTAAGCAGTTTTTTGGCATCGTTTTTATTGAAAAGTTTTGTTGAAGTAAAATTAAAAAAATCTTTTAAAATGCAATAACGCGGTTTGATTTATATTGAATGTACACTTGCATTCGGAGTAAATACACACAGGAACTTTATTTGATTTTTTTATTGTATTTTTGTAAAAAATATTTCATAACAGTTTTAATTCTATAATGAAAGTGTAAATATGTTAAAATCCATATTTAGTCATCCATTTAAAAAACTATTTCACACACAC